CTAGATTGAAGCAATCAAGAAGATCTCAGACTTCATCACTCAGCTAAGGATGGTTGGGAAAGGCCACGGTACGAAACCAATGCCCTATATTGAGATTTGAGTTCTAAGACTTAAAAGTTTTTCTAAGCTTTATACTTTTTTTGTCTTTGCAGGAGTTTGGCATTTCGACCAGAGGCTTCTGCATGGGACTGGAGCTCTATAAATTCACTATCACTTGACCAATGTTGGGGTTACACAGAAGAACCCGAAGATTCTGTAAAACTTCTAGACTTGAAGTTATGGAGTAATAAGTTTGTAGTACTAAAAGCTTTGTGTTTATGATGGTTTTTGTAATAATTTCCTAAGCTTAATCAATGAAGGATTCTGTTTTAACTAAATTCTGACTAGATATATGACCAAAAACGGAGACTTGACTGATTCAAGTACTAAAAACATAGATCCCTCTCTAACTAAAAGAAACACTAATATCCAATGTGAAAGAGTTGAGCAAAACGAACCTGTTTATGAAGAACATGGTGAAAAAAGCATGAAGCTGGTCACTGGGATAACTGAAAAGCAAACAATAATGAGGTTACGGTCACGCATCAAATTGAGTTGATAAATTGATTATATTTGGCCGTATCTAATCAAAATATGCTTGATCCACACAAGTATTACTTTGATTCTATTTGAACACTAACCAAAGAAAGACCACTCTGTTTCTATAAAGATACGAAAATGAGAGTATCCATGAAAAGTTACATGACGTACGAAAACACCACTAAAGCTATCAATCAATGGAGAGAAGATTCTCCCTTAATGACCTATCTTTCCATCAAGATTCTTCAACCCACTAAAGCACTAAGTAAGCAGTGAGAATCTGATTTTATGTAATGGCGAATAATTTGAGCTTATTTCAGGTGTTTGTTTTCCTTCAAAGCAATGGCCTAAAGAAAGATCATATCAAACAGAACAAGTTCCTCTCTCACGGGAAACAAACAAGCTTGGACTATTCTGTTGAGTGACCCAAAGACAACAACACTTATCACAGTGATTCTCTACTCAAAAGCAGGAAATTTTCAAATAATCATGGAAACCAAAGCATCTTGCATCCAATCCCCCACATAATCAACGGATTTTGAATCCCTAAACAACAAGAGTAATTCAAGGCTCAGACTCGCGTCTAAATCCCTAGCACAGTGAAATTGAAAGAGACGAGAAGAAAACAGACCGTAATTTTGAGAATGTCATCGAGAAATTGATCTCCGACCACAGAGCTTTCTAGCTATGGCGATCTGTGAAGGCTACTGGTGGGCACTAACAGTGACGAGTGACGGAGACAACACAAATCCCAACCCAATCATTGATGAATAATTCACTTTGCCGTACAATAATCAATCATTGGGCCTTGCAAATTGAAAACCCATTCAATGGGCTTACGAGGCTATAAGATAGACGTTGGCCCGTTAGACGCTTCATGCAATCCATTTATTAAATTGTGAAAATTCACCTAAATTTTAATATTTTTCTTTTCCGATAAACTTGCACGTTGGTTTAAAACAGAGGGAAAACAAACCATGTTACAGACGACACCGAAAACGCCATGGTGTGTGTGTATGTATACGCGAGAAACAAACTCCCCCACACACACACACCAAACCGAAAACGTCGTGCTTTGCTGGCGAAGAATGCAAAAACAACATGGATGTTTTCTTGTGGTTATCAAAGGCTTTGCTTAAATCATTTGGAGTCACT